TCGAAAGAATTCAGTCTGTGATGTTGCGCAAATAGGGAATGCAGCAGCATGTTTCTGGCAGCTCAGAAAGATTACTGAACTTCACCGGGAAACAGTACAGTCAAGAAAAAGACTGAGGCTTAGTGAAGAACGTTTTACATTTGCCGGTGGCTTCTGTTTGTGTTATCCATCCTGCGTGACAGTGTGATGTATAATACTTGGGCAATATTCCCGATTGAAGTCTACAAACTACTTTTGTTTGCTGTCAGAAAGATTTCATTCTCAATTGGTGATGCGTTGAATCACATGCAGAACTGAACTTGCTTGTAATTTTAATTTGAAGTAACTATTTCAGGCTTGTTACCATCCGCATCATTATCTTTATGGATGATGCTTGTATTTTAATTGTTTTTATTTATAAAATACAATTTACATTTTACATGGTACCTTTCATGTTGGAAGGATGTCTCAATGAGCTTCACAAAGCTGACTGGGGTGACCACGCACCTGAGCTGGGGTGAGCTGAAAGTTGACCAAAAATGCAGACAAAGTGAAGGTCTTACGGAGTGCTTCAAAAGTGGGGAGGGAGAGGTCGAGGCAAGAGGACTCTAGGATGGAATTCCAGAGAACAAGGGCACAAAAGTTGAAAATTCATCCACTGATGGTGAGGTACATCCAGGCAGGGCGAAACCTTGGGCAAGTTTCCTTTCTCCACACGCCTAATAATAATCCCTCCAAAACAAAAAACGATAATAAATTGGTCATTTTCAATCCACGACTGTTTGTGAGACACTACTGTGCGCAATTGGCTGCCGCGTTTCGCCCACCAATATACAGTCAATTCACTTTACAGTCTATCCAGTGAAGCGCTTTGAGACGTTGAGAAGACGTGAAAAGCGCTATATCAAATGCAAGGATTATTATTATTATTATTACATCAGCGGGGGCAGGCCGCTTCTCCTTTCTGAGCAAAGGTAGTGGCAAGATTGATAGGATTGCAGATGGCCACAGAGAATGTGGCAAGGGAGAACTTCTCAAAAGTTCTCAGTAAATTATCCTAAAATGCTTCCATTTAAACCTTCTTATGAGGTAGAATTGAATGAAAATGTAAATATGTAACTTTTTACAAAGAAAGCTTAACATGGGTTTATCTGAGAATACATTTTCTTGCACGGTCTAAAATTATAATTTCCTACAGATAAATATATACTTTATGCATCTGTTTTGAATGTAATTTTATTGTTCAACAATCGCTCCGGTTATTTTACTGGAAGCAATTAGCTCAAATGGAAAGTCACCAAAAATATTTGCAGTCCTATAGGAAAATTCCTGTATGCTGGTTCATACGAATTTAGGGTCTGAAAATTTATTTTGTATTCTTTCTCTCTCTCTGGTGATGATCCTCTTCACTGATCAGTGCAGAATCATCCTTCAGTCTCTCATTTTGCAGTTATTTTTGCTCTTTGCCCCCCTCTTCAAAATAAAAATAATCCTTGTATGGCTATTTTCCATCTTCCTTTTTGGGGGATTTAATTTTTTTTCTCCTCTCTGGTTTTACTTACTTCCACTGGCACTTTCACTTCCACATATCACAAAAACCAAACTCCATCAAAATTTGAATGAACCCTTTTGTTCTACAAATAAAGATTGTCGTATGATACTTTAAGGATAACTGTACAGAAAGCACCAATTGATCTGCAAAGTGGCCTAGCTGCAAATCTTTTTTGCTCCTAGGAAAAATAAATACGGTTGTGTAATTATGCCTCAACTCGTATGGCTCTTTGATTAAAACAATGGTGGACAACCTTTATAGTTGGCCAACAAAATACATTATCTTGATTGAATATTTCTCAATTTATGGCATACATCAAGAAATAGTGGGCCACAGATTGGTCACCAACGGTTCAAACTATTTTTCTTTAAAAATCTGGGGCCAGAATTCAAGGTACTGCATTCCTAAACACATTTCTTCCTTCTCATCAGTGATAACAACAATAACGACAATAAATTGCATTTAAATAGCACTTTTTACGTCGGGAGGAAGTTCCCAAGGTGCTGGAAATTATATAATGTAATACATTTAAGAATAAACAAATTTTGATCCACTCCATAATTTCCTTAAACAACACTTTCAACTAGTGTGGATCTGAGCAACTCAAACCAAAGAAGTCCCAGTTTCAATCTGTAATCCATGCTGAACCAATTGATCGTCACCTGAGGGGCATTAAATAGGTTGTGCTAAGTGAATTTCTCCTGGTGTCCTGGCAACCGTGAGTAAAATTGGTCATTCATTTCATAGCTGTCCACGTAGAAAATACAGTCATTTCACTTTATAGTAAATAAAGCACTATGAGATGCCTATTGAAGTGAAACATAGAATGTCAAATGCAAGTATTATTATAATTTAAATTGGCTTCAAAACTTGTAGGTCATGGGAAGTTAAAATCAACCATTGTTCTACACATGATTGCTATCATCATTTCCCCACTCCCAACCCTTAGCAACTCTTTCTATTTGAACTCATTTACAAATGCTAATAGGTTCTCAAGTTATTAGCAGATTATAACATTGGAAGGATGAGTGAGTTTCCTCAAAGAATGCTAGAATTCTGGGACAGATGTGAGAATTATAAATATAATAATAATAATCCTTGCATTTGATATAGCGTTTTTCATGTGTTCTAGACGTCTCAAAGCGCTTCATTGTTGCTGAAGTTGTGTCATTAGTGATCTGATGACCCAGAATTTGGCCGTATTTTTAGCTCCCGAAAAGCCATCTTGCTGTGCAAGTGCACAGTGAATGCGAATGTGCTGACAGGCGATCAGGCCCCATTGAAGATCAGATTGGGGTTTTACGGACCCCAAGTACTGTTATAATGGAGCTCGATCGTATTTTTTTCGTCATGTCCTGTGAGTGTACTCCTAATTTAATAGTCAAACATGTAGTGGTTCGGGTCTATGATGAGAATTAATGAGTTAAACTGGCTGTCAGACTTGGCATACTGCACTTCAAGCATGTGAAAGAATGGTATAAGTTTTGGGGGACAAGTAGACAAGTCTGTAAGATTAAAAACTAAACTTGTTACAGTTTTAACTAAAACCTTTAATGTGGTTTTAGGAGGACTGTTCTGTCCAAGTTTCAAATTAAGGTGGCTTAGCCACCAAGATCTGAAGCCAACAACACTCTTAGTGCAAAGATGAGAGCCAGGGGTGTGATTGTTCTATTTAGGAAATTAAAATCACCAAAAAATCATGCATTCAAATGAATCAAATGGATGTGAGCTGTGAAAAATAAGCCTAATCACAATCAGTTCTGAATGGCTTAAGATTCTAGCTGCCTGCCACAAACCTGGAAACCATTAAATGAGAGACCAGGGAAGATAAAGTGACTGCCACATAAGACATTAAGTGACCATGGATTGGGGGGGTTGGTTGGGGAGGGAGAATGATGGCTGAGAAAGAACCCTCTCTCACCATCCACCACCACGATACACAAGCTGTCAAAGCAATTTTAGATTGCAAAATGGTCTGTGGCTGATCTTAAACCAATCTTTGTCAAACTTGTTTGTATACTGGACAGACAGTGGGCACCAGTGGTTAACCAGCGACTAAGCCACTGAATGATAACAGCTGGATTCCTCACTTTGTTAATTATTCTGCAAATTGAGCTACAAAATACATTTTGCTTAAATATGTATTCGCTGTGCAATTTCAAATCATTTTGCTTTAAAAGATTGAGATAGAAAATTTAATCTGGGCACTTGGTTTAATGTTAGTTTACTCTTAGACTTTCTGAGTATCGATCTGGAGGTGGTAGAAATGTTTTTCTTTTATTTTTGCAGAATAGGAGCTATAAATCTTCAAAAAAAGATATTGGAGCAGTGGTTAGTTGTAACTTAATACAAGGTATAGATGGTGTTTTAAAAGGCTTCCATTGTGGTTAATAACGTCTTGTGATTTTTTTTGGGGTGGAGCATGTCTATTTTAAGAAATAACCTACTGTTTATAAAACCTTGACAATGTGGCTATGGACATGATCTAAACACTGACTACAGACGAACTAACATGACTGATAGTACGAAAAATGTGCACCACAGAGAGATGCCTTTTAGAAATAATCTCTTAAGTGTTTCTGAGGAACATAAAGGAGATTAAAATTTCTGTTATAACATGGTATTATGGGTCCAACAGGTATTAGGGTTCCGCAAAATACAACGGTCGGTGTTCCTGCTTCTGGCTGTCAGGATGACGTTGGGGTCACATTCAGCTTCTGGTGGATTCCTGCATGCCGGGCGGGCACAAGTGTAGGAAGCCAGCCATTTTGCTAGATGTGTACAGCAATTTCGGTAACCACGTGTACATAGGACACCCGTAACATTAGCGGGTTGGTGCTCCAAGGAGGCTGGGAGGCCTGTTATAATAATAATAATAATAATACTTGCATTTGATACAGTGCCTTATCATGTCTTTGAGACATCTCAAAGCGCTTCACAGGATGATACTGTAAGGGGATTGATTGTGTATTTTGTGGGTGAAATGTGGCAGCCAATTGGCCACAACAATGTCCCACAAACAGTCGTGGATTGAGTGACCAATTTTTTTTAAGGAATTATTACCCCTGAAAAGCGATCCACCAATCGATTAACATCTGGGTTCCTACTTACTGCTCGGTAAACAGAGGCGTGTGGAGTAAAGAAACTTGCCCAACATTTCGCCCTGCCGGGAATCAAACCCATGTCTCTCGTTAAGAGGCGAGTGCTCTAACCACTGAGCTACAGGACTGCACAGGCTCATCTGGTGTGTGGTGATGCTTATTTGTTCTCTCTTATAAGCAATTATGATTTGCTTTTGGACTGATGTGTTCACAGCTGTTTTGGTTGACGAGTTTTCTGACAAATAAGTCTACCCAATCCAAAAAAAAAGCAAGTGGTATAAATGAAACAAAAGTGAAATTATTTTATTTACAATGTATTTTGCATGTGTCACATTTTAACATGCTATCTTTTTATTTGTTCTTCCTAGTCTGATATTATCCATCAGAGTGTCTTTGAACTGATCCACACAGAGGATAGAGGTGAATTCCGTCGGCAGATTCACTGGGCTCTGAATCCTGCCCCGACCCCTGACTCAGGCCAACTCGTGCAAGGTGAGTGAGTCTCTTTGATATTCCAACTTAATTAAAGAGGCTTCAAAAAAGTGCATTTCATTTGTTTACCAATATCCAACATAATGACACTCAAATAGACATGGTGAAAATTATGGGGGGACTTTGAAGGGACAGCAAAAGAGAGAGGGAAAGTCAGAGAGAGATGCACACAACCACTATAACAACTTGCATTTACATTGCGCTCTTCATGTAGGGTAGCATCTCAGAGTGCTTAACATTGTCAGAGCTTGACGCTGAGCTGGAGAGAGGGCGCAGGTGGACGGAGGCATAGACCAAGAGGAAGGTCTTCAGCTGTGATCTGAAGACAGACAAAAGAGGCAAGGCAAAGGGATTGAGGCAGTGTGTTCCATAGTTTCAAGGCATAGTGGCTGTACGCATAGCCGGCGTTGGTGGAGGGGACGAGGGACGTGCGAGAGGCTGAAGTCAGTGCATGTGGCAGGTAATGCCGTGGAGGGTAAGCACGTCGCAGCTAATAGTCTCAAAATCCCATTTGCCCTGCCAAGAGCTCTCGAAACCCAATGTACTAGCCTCTGGTTTGTGTACATGTATGTTTACATTCTCTAAATCGTTTTTTAACTGGTTGCTCCAGAATGTCCTCATTTAAATCATGTTCAACTCCTATCTTTATGATATCGCCAAAATACATTATCTCACATTGATTAAGTTAAATTAAATTACATTTGCCATACTTGGCACCTAGTCACCAAATCTATCAATATGAATAGCTTTCTTTTGAGTCACCCTGAATCAGAAGGATGTAGGGTCAATAGTAATCTTTCCATTTGGTATAGCCACCTTTTCACATTGGAAGGAGGTCTCAAAGTGCTTCACGGGAATTAGTGGGAAATGGACTGACTGTATTTGTACGCAAATGCGGCAGCACAATGATGCACAGCAATGACCTGGGACGATAGAAAATTGCGGAAATGTTTGCCCAAAAATGCAGGGAGAATTGCCGGTTTTCCAGGAAATTGCAGGGCTGTTTTTGCCAAATTTTGCAGAAAATTACAGGGAGTTGATTGATGCTATTGAGGTACATTTTACCACCAACCTACATTTTTTCACTTTATTGATAAAAACTAAACAGAAGAATATAACACATATTAGATTGTTGCAAAAAAATTTATTACGTCTTTAACATAAACCGGGTGGCCTTTTTTAGTGGGGGGGAACATCAGCGAATCTACAGGAGCTCACCACCTCCTGCTTCTCAGGGACAGCACTATACACAGACCCAGAGAGAGACACACACTCAGAGACTCAGAGAGAAACACACTCACAGACACAGAGAGAGACACATTCTTAGAGAGAGACACACGCACATTCATAGACACGGAGATATACACACACACAGGTAGAGAGAGAGACATACACTCACAAACACAAAGAGACAGACACTCATAAACACAGAGAGAGATACACACATAACACTCACAATTACAGAGCGACAGACACTCACAAATACAAAGACAATCACAACAGCGGGGCCTCCAAATGAAACCAATTTGCTGCTAGTGCCGCGGATGCGGTTCCAGAGAGGCTCCGCCCACAGTGACCTCAGGTAACCAGCAAGCGGCCCGCGGGCCAGAAACTACATTTATTATAGCAGGTTTGTAATGGAGGAGGTATTTATAATGGATTCAGGCAAAAAAGTGCGGCCGCAAGTTTCTATTGGCCCAGGCGATGATGCACAAACAGCCATGGAATGAGTGTCCAATTGAATAGTGCCATAGGATCTTTTAACGTACAACTGAACAGGCAGACTGGACGGCATCTCCACAATGCAACACAACCCCAGCACTGTGTTGGAGTGTAAACTCAGACTTTGTGAGTTCAAGTCTTAATGTGGAATTTGAATCCACATCCTTCTGAATCAGTAGCGAGGGTGCTGCCACTGAGCCAAGCTGACACCTCAAGCCCCATGTCGGGACTGGATCTCATAGACAACATAGCTGTTACTCCGTTGCAGTGCTGGGAGTGTGCGACATAATTGGAGGTGCCTTCTTCAGATGAGACGTTAATCCAAACACCCTTCTGCGTGTTCAGTTGGACATAAGAAATGCTAGACGAAAAAAGATCAAGTTAGTTCGCCTTCCACCTTCCTGGCGATCGTATGCACATATGTCCCAAACTATCTACGTATTATATCCCATAATGTTATTTCCTAAAAGAAAACTATCCTCGAAAGAATCAAGAGTTTTTGCTTCAACCTGCTTCACTGTTTGCTCACTGAAATAGTGTTTGTGTAGATTCGTTCTGAATTTACACCCCTTCAATTGCAGGCCATGTCCTCTAGTTCTACTATTCTGGAGAAGTTGAAACAGTCTGTCATGATCTATATTGTCGGGCCCCTTTAGAATCTTAAAGACCACAATCATGTCGCCTCTCAATCTTTTATTTTCCAGTGTGGTCATGCCCAATTTACTTAGTCACTCCTCATAGTCCAGACCTTCCATTCCCTCAATCATTTTGGTTGCCCTTCTCTCTATCTTCTCGATTTCTCCCATTTCCTTTTTGTACTGTGGAGACCAGAACTGTAGACAGTACTCTTAAGTATGGTCTCACCAATGATTTAAACAGTGTCAGGATTACCTCAATATTTCGGCTTGCTATTGATCTTTTGATACATCCCAACATCTGGATTGCTTTACTCACTGACACAGAGCATTGTTGAGAGAGCTTCAGTTTATTGTCAATCAGGACTCCCAGGACCTTTACATTTTCCATGCATATTATTGTCCTTCCATTCAAATAATAGTCCCTTTCAGTATTTTTTTGTTCCCATGTGAAGTACTGTACATTTCTCCATAATGAATTTCATCTGCCACTGATCTGCCCAGACATAAAGAGCTGAAAAAGAGAAGGGAGATTCTCCTTGTGTTCTGGCCAACAATTCCCTCAAATAAAATTGGTCATTTACTTCATGGACGTTTGCAGGACACTGCTGTGCGTAAATTGGCTGCCGTGTACAAAATACACAATCACTCCACTTTCCAGTGTATCCTGTGAAGGACTTTGAGATGACCTCTTGTTGTGAAAGGCTCTATATGTATATCCTGTAAGGATTATTATTATTTTAGTTCCTGAGTATTTTATATTACTGCTTGTTAGTCTGTATTTCCTGGTGATGTGCTCGTCTCAACAGGATAATATGTATTATCTTCCACTCCTGTGGTACAGCTATTGTGTGTGGAGCTCCTCAAAAATAATAACCAAAGCCTTATCTATTTTTATATTCATTTTCTGCTCAAGGTGTAGGTATGTGTTTAATTCATGGAGTAGCTCCATAGCACATGCTGAATTGACCTCTCCATATAGTTTGAATTACTGGCTAAAATAATCCTGGAGTTATCTTCAATCTTCACACTGATCCTCTGTATTTCTGCCCCATTTATCTTTTAAAGGAGAACATAAACACATTCTACAACAAATATAGCAACAAGAGAGATGCAAATAATTTTCTTGAACATTCTCTTTGCTAATATTCAAGTTTATTTTTGTCTACCAATTTATTTGACGTCTCGTTTTTGATTTACTTGAATCTTTGCACAGCTCAGCTTGGCTTTACAGCTCTGCTTGCTTTGACTCTTTTGCAAATGGGCAAAATCCCAATATAAGGTCAGGAATATGGTTCCAATAATAAAATCTTCAATGTGGCCAAAATATTTGGTTTTAATTAAAATGGCATGTCAGTCTTTAAAGGGATGCAGTTTTAAATTTACACTTTTACATGATTAATAATAATTCTTGCAATTGATATAGCATCTTTTATGTAGGGAAGATGCCTCAAAGCGCTTCACAAGATTGGCAGTAAAATGTAGTGACTACTTGTAGGCAGAGACGCCAGACAGTTAATTATGAAAAGTCTTCCAACACTTTTTGTATAATTATTTGATGAGATAAAATACCTGAAAAAGTATTTAAAGCCTCTGTGCACTGAACAGGGTATGTGGGCAGACAAAAATTTGTTAATGACACTCTTTCCTTGATCAGCAGAAATGCTTCTCTGAATGTTTTTTGCACATTTTTAAGTAGTGATAACATTTTGTCATCTGTGTGACCTGACTCTCAGCTGTGCAATGAAGATGCTTAGCAGTTGCTTTAACTACCATATTTGCCTAATGGTGAAAAAAAGTTTACTGTTGTATTTCCATCAATCTCTCTGTACTTTCTTTTCTCACCCCGTTGCTAACCTCCTTTTGAAACCATAGATTGAGTTGGAATTTTTGGTGAATTGAAACTAGTGTCTGCTCCTTTTTTTGTTTGTCAGTCGGGTGACTAACACATGAGGAAGTCCATACCCACCCTTAAGAGTTTCCAAACCAGACAGAGTTCCAATGTATTCCACTTACACTTGGAAATTCCCATGTCTAGAATGGAATGTGCACTCAATCCCCAGAGGGAAGCCCCCTATTTGCCTAATTCTGGGGAATGTTAAGCACAGGTTGTCAAAAGCTGAGATTTAGGGACACCAGTTGGACTACTGCTGGAGTAGTCCTTTTCTCTCATAATAGTAAAATAATGTTCATCTGTTACTTATTTTGGTGCAAAGTAGTAAATAGTACCGTTACAGAATGTTTAGCAATCCTCATGTTGGAATATATGTAGTCTTGACCTTGGTGTTTGTGTGGAGGAGTGGGGAACTGGCTCCTTATTTAGCTGATGATTGAGTACTTTTGTTGTGGGATGGTTAAACACACAGCTGTTTGATTTATTTTTAAACTACCAATGGCTTCCAGTAAAGTCATTCTGCTGGAGTTGTTCTCAAGTACATGAAATAAATCTCATATTCCACATAAGTGAGACAACTGCCATATTCTGCATTCTCAGCTGAATGGGATTGTATTGATGCATTTTTGTGTGTGTTACCAGTATTCTGCATTATACATACATTTGTCTGTGCTGCCTGTCAGCCTGGTTTAGTTGGAAACACTCTTGCCTCTGAGTCAGAAAGTTGTTGGTTAAAGCCCCACATCGGG